GGTGGGGTGTTCCGAAGGCTGCTCGCTGAGAGGGACAGCTGTCCTGGACTGCAGCTGCCAGGGAAGGTGCTGGTGGAGCTGGACGGACCCTGGAGCCCAAGGACTAGCTGAGATACTGTGGAATGGGTCCTTTGTCGCCTTGGCCACCATCTCCCAGATCTGTGCAGCTCAGACCCAGGGCAGATTCTAGGGTGACGTTGGATCCCCATCTTTCTCGATAATCTTAACTTTTTCCTCAGTTAGAGTACACAAATATTCCTTAGCCCCCTTCTGTCCTACAGTCACCAGAAATGTGGGGCTGTGGTTGGATTTTTTTTTTGTTTTTTTTTGTTTGTTTGTTTGTTTTGTTTTTCACAACAGGGTTTCTCTGTGTAGCCCTGACTGTCCCTGAACTCACAGATCTGCCTGCCTCTGCCTCCTGAGGGAGTGGTGGCGTGGGCCACCAGTGCCTGGCTATGCATGGGTGTTTGAAAGGGGTCCTAGGGACTGAAGAGCTGGAGTATATTTGAGATGAAGGGCTCAGGGTGGGGTCCAGAACTCAGGGGTGAGGAACTCTGATGTACCCAGGGACGTGACCCCTCTATCAGCACCACCCAGAGCTGAGAAATGGAGCAGCTACATGAAATCTTCACTGAAAGGCCGGGTGTGCCAGGCACCTAGTGAGGTTTGCCAAGGACAGGGTTCTTGCACTCCATGGACCTTTGCCTGGGCAAGCCACACAGCCATGGGGTGCAGACATGGGAGACTGCCTTTGTGTGTGGCCTGAGGAGCTCTTTGGTATCAGGTCTTGCCAGCATGGTACAGAGAGGGGTCTTATAAGTGTTACGTCCATTGACATTTCTTATCTAATAGTTATATAAGAGGAGATAAAAAAATAGTTTTCATGATTGCATTGCTTAGGGTAAAGTTAAGGAGTAAAAGTAAATTGATGTCAAAGATATCACAAAGGCCAGCCAGATGGCTCAGGCATTAATCAGACCCGGTTCAACTCCTGGAACACAATATTGGAAGGAGAAAATTGGCTCATACAAGTTGTCCTCTGATCTCATGCACACCATCATGCACATGCATGCACACACACAAAACAAACATTTTTACAAAGTGTCATGGAAAGATGCACAAGTTAGGTGGATCCTACTGCTTAAGAGGCTGAAGCGGAAGGAATGAAGGTGGAGGTCAGCTGGGCTACATGACAAGATCTCGGCTCAAACAAAGACACCATGAGGGTGTGGAGAGTCCATGTGGTTAATGGGCCCAGTGTTTGTCATCTGAGTATTGTCCCCTTATAATGCCCTGGCCTCATCTGCCCAGTGCCTCTACCTTTCCAGACAGTTGGGTCTCATGACAATGTTTTCAGACCAGTCTGACAAAGTGCTCTTCTAGGATGGTCGTATGACAGAGAAAGTGAGAGAAAGCCTGGGTTCAGGTCCTTAGTCACCTCATTTGTCACAGGAAGACCTTGGACCATGACTGACCCACATCCTCCAGGACTCACAGGTGCTCCTCTCCCCGCCTCGCCCCACCCCCAGCTGAAAGCCATCCTGGGTTGGGACTTGTTTGTCTCAGAGGCTAAACATTGGCTAAGATGCTGCTGTAATTGTTGCTTTGTTTTTCCTTCCTCCCAAAGAATGGTTCCATTTAAACCATGCACAGCCAACTAAGATACCCTAAAAAACATTTCTTCATTTTATTCCATAATTGCTTCCTCACTCAGCATGCTGTGTTCATCCATCATAGTAAAGGCTAGTTAGTCATTCTCAGTAGTGTGTGCCTGTCTCTCACAGACACATTATATGTCTTCCATGCCACATGAATTAATTACAGGGTAATTAACACTTCCTTGTCAGTTTACACAAAGATTTTGCTGTTGAAAGGAGGCGGCAAAGGAGAGAAAACTAGTGCTAGTGTGCCACCTAGCGGCCATGAGTAAGACTTCTTATCACCTGTGCTCAAATCTGCAGAAGCGTTGTGGGTCTCAGAACTTACATTGTGATGGGCAGCTCACACTGCCTTCACGGCCTGTACTCTGGTCCACGTGGCAGTTACTTCTGCATTCTGTGGTCGATGAAGAAGCCCTACCGTAAGAATCAGACTTCTGAAAAAAAAAAAAAAAGAATCAGACTTCTGGCCAGTCGCAGTGGCACACGCCATTAGTCCTAGCATTTGGGAGGCAGAGGCAGGCTGGTCTACAGGATGAGTTCCAGGACAGTCAGACCTACATAGTGAGACCTGGTCTTAAAAAAATAAATCGGCCTACTGTCTGGTCATCTGTAGAAAAATGGATAGAGTTAGAGGTCATCACGTCAAGCAAATCAGGCCAGCCAGTTTACCACATTGGAGCGCCACTCTGTAGTAAGGAGCACGGGGACACTTTGTTCCGGCTAGCTTACACCCAAAACAGTCACACAGAAACTGTATTTATTTAAACACTGCCTGGCCAATCATCTCTTATTGGCTAACTCTCACATTAATTTAACCCATCTCCACTTGACTATGGCTTACTGGCATGAGTCTAACTAGTGTCCGTCTCGGGCAGGAGAACCATGGTGTCTGCCACACTGCCCTTCTTCCCAGCATTCTGTTTTGTCTGCTCCGCCTGTCTAAGTTCTGCCCTATCAAAAGGCCAAAACAGCTTCTTTATTCAACCAGTGAAAGCAACATGTAGACAGAAGAACCTCCTTAATCACCCAGCCAGGCAAATACACGTTTACATACACATATATAATAAATAATTTTTTTAAAAGAATTCCTTAATTAAAATAGAAAGGTTAAGTTAAGGCCAGCGAGATGACTTGGAGAGTATATGCACCCGGTTCTGTGCCTGACGACCTGGACCTGAGTTCAGTCTTTAGGGTACACACAGTGGAGGGAGGGAATCAGTGCCCAGAAGTTGTCCTCTGACTCCACATACTTCCTCTGGCATGGGTATACTCATACACCCAAAAGCAGAAGAACACCCCAAAACCAAAGAGCTGATGGGTATCTTTCTGGCAATGTTGACCAAGTTTGGCCACATAGGCACTCAGAGGACACTGTTGCCATGGTCTCTGGGGTTCCAGCTACCCCTTGAGCTAGCAGCAAAACTTGCCATCAGCCACTGTTTGCTGGGTTTGCCAGTATACAAATGCATGAGTTACAGGGTCGTTGGGTTCTCTGCTAGGCATCCCTGTGCAAACTACACACGGAGGGAGCCTGAGTTGCAGTAGAGGCCCCAGGACATTGAAGATAACGGCAATGTGGGATGTCTCTGAAGAAAGCTGCAGGCACCCAGTAGAGCCAGCTCAAAGGAGAGGCCAGAGCTGCAAATGGTGGAGCCATAGGGGTTGGAACGCCCAAGCTCTTGAAGTACAGATGTCACCGTAAGCCCTGGATATCAGATAAGGAGCTACAGAATTTCCTATTTACTTTGTTGAGTTGATTTTAATGTGTACCTCCGTGTATAGGTGGGCACATGTGTACAGATGCCCACGGAGGCCAGAAGAGAACATAAGAGAGTGTGAGCTGCCCAGCGTGGGGGCTGGGGGCTGAGCGCAGGTTCTGTGTAAGAGCAGCCAGTGCCCTTAACCGTTGAGTCGTTGTCTTTCCAGTGCCTGAGTTTCTTGCTACTCTGCTTTGCTCCCGACATGGGAATGTCTACTCGGTTCCAGGATGAATGGGAAGTAGGCAGTTTTCTTTCTGATTTTGCAGGGTTCATAGCTCAGATTGCCTCAGAAGAGACGTTGCACTCTGGACATGTCTGACTGCATGTGATTGTTTGTATTAGAAGGTGGACGCAAACCTTTCTGGGCCGGGGGTATGCTTTGAATCTGCGGTGTCTCCCACAGACTTGCATTTGGAATGCTTGTTCCTAGTTTGTGGCTCTGTTTTGAAGGCTGTAGAGCTTTTAAGGGTTGTGGCCTCGCTGCTGGAAATAAGACACTAGTGTCAAATCCTTGAAGGTTATACCTGCTCCTGGTTTTGGCTCGTGTTCTCTGTTTCCTGTCCCATGTCATGTGAACTATCTCGTGGTCTTAGTGTCAGGATGGGATTGATGGGCTTATTTTGCCGTGTCTTCCCTGCTAGGAGGGACTGGGGCAGCCAAGATAAACCTTCCTTAGATTTATCGTTCGTGTGTGGTGTTTAGTCACAGGGACTCTAAAGTAATTAATGCCATATCCAACCAAGAACTAATTGCCTGGCTCCCATGTGGGCAGCTGGGAACTCATTTCTCATTGTTTGGGAAACAAACCAGAATTACACTGAGCCTGGATGTGGGGGATGGCAGAGGCTTTCTTATGCTTGCTGTGTACCGTGTTTTTTCTTGCTTGCTTGCTTTCTTGCTTTCTTCTTTCTTTTTGATCCTTCCAGGCCAACAGCCGGCCCTCCCACTGAGCTGTACCCAAGTCCTGTCCCCATTCTTTTCAAGTCCTCTTCTCTTGTCCAAGATGAAGGGATCTGTATCAGCACAAGATATCTCAAGATCAAGTTCTCAGCACAAAGGAGATTTATTTGACCCAGGGGCACAAAGGGCAGGGAATAAGAGACAAAGACACAAAGACAGAGGAAGTGGGAGAAGGGGAGGGGGAAGGGATCTTTTTCCTGGTGGACAAATCCTGCCTCTTGGAGGGGGGGGCAGAGGAGACTGCCGCCCACAGGCAAATGACAGCTGATAAAGGTAAAAGGGGAAACCTAGTGTTAGGATGAGGTGTTTAATTTTGATTGGACAGGTTAATTAGGGCATCCGTGAGAGGACTTTAGATTGCTGGACTTTAATACTCTGACAGCTGGATCTTGGTCCTCAGCCTCAGGAGAAGGAAGTGGCCAAATAGGGAATAGACCTTGGGGGCAGCCTCGGGAATGTAATGGTTTTTAGCAGGGCAGAGGGAATGGGGGAGAAGGGCAAAGCCTGTGAGAGCCATGTTTGTCACACTGAGGCCAGCTAGAGTCCCTTCACAAGAACCTGCACCGTGACCCCTAAGAACACCCCTGAACACAGCCATATCCTCCTATTTCTCCGGCAGGCAGACCTCAACACTAACATCGATGATGAGGGCAGCGCCTTCTATGGGGTGTCCAGCCAGTACGAGAGCCTGGACAACATGATCATTACTTGTTCTACTAAGGTCTGCTCCTTCGGCAAGCAAGTGGTGGAGAAAGTTGAGGTAGGAGGCCACCCAGTGGGTGTGGGGTGAAGGGGGTGGCCTGCGTGCCCCCTTTCTCTGGAGCTTCCCCCCACCCCCAGTGCAGGATTGCTGAGGGGGCCCTATGTATTTCCATTACCTTCAGGAAGTACGTGTTTTAGGTTGGGTGTGAAGCATCTAATAAGTTACTGAGTTGTATCTAATAAGTTACTGATTTAGTTGTCCATCCTTGTGCCTCAGAGCCCTGGCTGAATTTTCTGGTCAGGATCCCTTTCAAGCCTTCCTTACAAGCATCCCACACCTTCTAGAGCAGGACCAACGTACAGGCTAGCCCAAGGATTTCTCCCTAATCCATCTGTGTCTTTGACAGCTGGGCTGGGGGATAGGAGTGGCCTTCCTCGGTCACACAGAGCTCTAGAGGCAGAGGCGGGATGTTCAGGGTCTGTTCGCTCTCGATTTTTACTCCATGAATGCAGAGTTTGTGGAGTCCCCGTTTCTGCAGGTGTTTGGGTATCTGCTAGGCAAGTATGCTACCATCAAGCTATATAGCCTTTTGCCTCCACATCCCCCCATTTTGAGGCAGTCTTTAGATTCTCCTTTCCCAGGCAGCCCAGCAGCACACAGCTTTTCAGTTTTGGAGTGCCATGGAGACCTTACACTTGGGCAGAATTCTCTGCCTCCCTGTCACTCACCCTGTCAAAGGCAGGCAGGCTGACAGTAAGCACAAGCTAGAGGACCCGGATTTGATCCCTGTACCTCCCCTGAGCCCCATTTCCTACTGTGTTAATGGACCCCACTTTTCTCTAAGGGATTATAGGGTTTTCACCACCCACTGATCCCAATAGCTGTGACAGTCTGGTCTTATTATGTAATGAGAATGACAAAATGACCCTAAAGCCTGTGCCCCAGGGTACCAGTGGTCCTTAAGTCTGTGACCCTGTGCAGTGCATAACATTGCATGATGTCAACCTGGCCACTTTTTGGCCCACGTGGGTCTGAACTGATGGCATCCTCTCTACCTGGGGTTGACAGCCACTCATACCAGGCAGGACCTGGGAATGGAGCTTTGCTTCCGGGTCCCAACCCTAGCTATCCCATTGCCAGGAAGCTTTTGATACATGTTAGCTGCCCTGAGTGTGATCCAGTAGAAGCTATGTGTGTGGTCTTTTGTTCTCTTTTGATACTGTTGATGGACTCCAGGGCTCACAGCTGCTGTACACCAGCCCTACACCCCCCCACCCCCCCACCTCCCCCACCCCCCCACTCCCCACCCCTGCAAAGGCGTATTT